CTTTCCAGACTGAGTGGCTGTAACCTCTCAGAGAGAAGCTGTGAAGCTCTGTCCTCAGTTCTCAGCTCTCAGTCCTCCAGTCTGACAGAACTGGACCTGAGCAACAACAACCTGCAGGATTCAGGAGTGAAGCTGCTTTCTGTGGGACTGGAGAGTCCTCACTGTACACTGGAGAGTCTCAGGTCAGGATCAGTTGCAGTTCAGTTGAAATGATTTTCTCAACTATCAGATATGAACAGCAGACAGTACAGAGAATCTCATTCATGCTTTGGCTCAGTTACATTCAAATCAATCCATCTTCATCTTCTTGTTTTAATTCATGTCAACTTTGACATCTTTAGTCAGTTTAAAATATACCATGACAGTAAGGATTTCAGCCTGTCCTGGAAGATCACATCTCACCACAGCTCATTATTCCAAACTGGTCACCATTTAAATGGAGAACTTCATCTTGGTTTCACAAATTTAGAGTCTTTTCATATCGGGCCCAGAACTAAGAGGCAGGTCTGCTAGTTCCTTGCTGTCTGAGAGACTTCTTCGTTTGCTTCCTCGAGTCTACATCATTTAACATTTAACAGCGGGTGTTCATTGTCTTTTTGTCTATGTTTGTCTTTCCAGACTGAGTGGCTGTAACCTCTCAGAGAGAAGTTGTGAAACTCTGTCCTCAGTTCTCAGCTCTCAGTCCTCCAGTCTGACAGAACTGGACCTGAGCAACAACAACCTGCAGGATTCAGGAGTGAAGCGGCTCTCTGTGGGACTGGAGAGTCCTCACTGTACACTGGAGAGTCTCAGGTCAGGATTTATCAGTGTTCATTTAAAGCTGGTTTTCAGTGATTAATATTGTTATTGGAATTTACCAGCCTGGGGTGTCTTAGCTCCAGGTTCTGTCTTGTTTTTCAAACCAGAACATGTCAGATAAACTTCACTGAAAAGGCGACACCAGGACAAATGTTTGTTCACCAGGTTCACGACTGGAACTGTGACATGATTTGGAAAAACGCAACCTGGAAATTACTTGAAAATGTAATTTGAGTTGAACCCGGGTCAGGAGCTTGGCCCCAAAGTTGAGGGAACCAAAGCAGAACCAGACACAGTGGATACACCTCAAGCTGCAGGTTGCTGTGTCTCTGCTGAAACCTCACAGTGTCTGCCTTTTGTGTTCTGTGTGTCTGCAGGCTGTCAGGATGTCTGGTCACAGAGGAAGGCTGTACGTCTGTGGTCTCAGCTCTGACCTCCAACCCGTCCCACCTGAAAGAACTGGACCTGAGCTACAACCATCCAGGAGACTCAGGAGTGCAGCTGCTCTCGGCTAAAGTGGAGGATCCACTCTGCAGACTGGACACTGTGAGGTATGGAGAAGACGTCTGAAAGAGGAGGAAGAAGTATTTTCTCTGTCCTTCTGTCTGTCTTTGTGCTTCACTGTGTAAATGAATGTTGTGGAAACAGTCACACACGTCGGAGCCTTTTTCATTTTAAACAGATCTCTGCAGGTTTAAGTCTGTCATTTTAGGAGCATCCTTTTTTGCTCTCTGACTCCAGATCAGATTAATTTAAAATAGATGTACAGGTACAGGTGTTTACTCCAGCTTAGTGCAAAGACTCGGGGTGGGTGGGGGGCAGTTAGCCCAGCTCAGCAGCAGCTTATCAGTCAATACCTGATTGAAAAATTGCACAAAATTATTTCAGTGGACGTCATCCTGCGTCCTGATGTCTGTTTTGAACATAGTCACAAGATATGAGCCGAAGCAGCTCATGTTCACATCACGTGGACTGGTCCAATGGCATCGACGATCAGCCACTGGAGTTGAACTGTACCGCGTTATTCTGAGAAGTGTTTATAATTCGTCCATCCTCAGATCAGTGGTTGGACCAAAACCGCTCAGAAACCTTACTGAGGGTAACGTGTAGACCTGCTCTGTCTTATGGGACCACGTGAGGTTTATCTTCATAAACTGGGATGGATGGGGTTCACACTTTTCATCTTATCATTACTAAAGTAGATTCGCCTACATTCTCTGTACACACATCGCTGCCATTGGTCTAACAAAGTTATGGACAGTGACTTTGACCTTGTTTAGACTAGTTTGCTGGTGAACAATACACAAATGGCTACTGTGAGCGCCTTATCTTGATAAGTCGACCACAGATTTGACATTTTTACGGCTACTTTCTTGCCTAAAACCATCGTTGTTTGTTCCACAACAATCGTATTTACGTACCTTCTCCTCAGCCTCTGCCACTGATTGGTGTGAAATGCATTATGGGATACTTGGCAGCCCCAAGTTCCACACATGCCCGGTCCTTATGCGTCCTCGATAATGTGGGAGGACACATTTCATCCCTGCTTGGCCAGCACGTCATTTGAACTGGAGCAGTACTTGGGCTACAGACTGCTTCGGTTGTTTGGGTGCAAATGAGAACAAATAAACTAAAATAATGTTCATGTTTGGGTGCAACCAAATAAGAACGTTCGATCACCAGTGCAACCAGTGAAAAAGTTACTCTGGTGCCTTGTGTTGGACAGTCAGAGGCTCCACCTGGTGCCATGAACAAGTACCACGTCTTCATCGGTTAGTATGTTTTCAGTCAGTCAGTTTATTCACAGCAAAAACTAAACACTTTAATAATCAGTTCAGTCAGTTGTGGAACATATCGACCACAGGAAGTGACCTGACAGATGCTGCGTTCATGTGTGTTTGCCAACATGCTGGACTGTTCCTTTAGTGTTTAACAGCGTGTCCATGTTGAAAGAGTCGGTGCTGCTCTGATCCTCCTCCTCTTTTCAGGTTGGAGCCTGCTGGAGTCCGATGGTTGACACCAGGTCTGAGGAAGTGTAAGTGTGGTTCTAATGTGATTCATCTTGTCAATAATGATCAGATAATCGATCAATAACTGCATCTGTGTTTGTTCTGTCCATCAGATTCCTGTGAGCTCACCATCGACACAAACACAGTGAACCGACACCTCAAACTGTCCGACAACAACAAGAAGGTGACACATGTGGAGGAGCACCAGTCGTATCCTGACCATCCCGACCGGTTTGACCACTGTCACCAGCTGCTGTGTGCTACTGGTCTGACTGGCCGCTGTTACTGGGAGGTGGAGTGGAGCGGCAACGCTGACGTATCGGTGAGCTACAGAGGACCCAGCAGTGACCGTTTGTTCGGACGGAACGATCGGTCCTGGAGCCTGCACTGCTTTAACGGTTACTACTCTGTGTGCCACAACGACCGAGCAGCGTTCATCCCGTCCTCCTCATCCTCCTCGTCCGCCTCCTCGTCCTCATCCTCCTCCTCGTCCTCCTCCTCGTCCTCCTCCAGCAGAGTGGCGGTGTATCTGGACCGTCCTGCTGGAACTCTGTCCTTCTACACAGTCTGCTCTGACACACTGACCCACATTCACACCTTCGACACCACATTCACTGAACCGCTGTTCGCTGGGTTCGGGTTTGGGTTTCTGTCCCTGTATGTGTCCTGGTTGTCTCTGCGTTGAGTTTAGAATACTAAACCTCCTCCTGCTCCTTCAGACATCAACCTGTCCCGTTAATGTGACGGCTACTAAACAGGTGAATGTTCACTTGGTCGCTCATCGTCCAAAAACGTCACGCCTTTTTTACGCTACACTTCCAAAACGAACGTCTTAACCCTTAGAGCTCCGCAGTCACGCCAGCATTATATAATCATGCGACATTTTCGAGACGTTACGGCAGAAAAGCGCCAAATCCTCTCCAAAGTTCAGACTTTAAACTCTCTCCCAGTTTTCGTTTCATGTCGATGGACCACGTAGAACCGGAGATATGATGTGATGAAAAGCATGTGAAATACGGCGTCGCTTTTCTTTCAACGTCTTCGTCATTTTTTTTGTCGTTTTTCAAAAAGTAAAAGAAAGTCCCTGGAAGTGCAGCTCCTGATGTGGCCGCCGGCCTCATTCTGGACACAAACTGTTTCCATAAACGGGAAACAAGTCACACCTGCTTTATATAGAGTTACAAATATTTGTCTTTAGTTTGATTCTATATCAGATTTCCCTTTTCATGTTCATATCTGCAACCTAGGTTTACATTTTCAACTTTCAAAATGCTTTAATAAGCATGTTTGTACTTTTTAAAGCAATAAATAATATATATTTTTATTTTATTTAAGCCCGAAATGTAAATTTTTCAGAATCAGAAATACTTTATTGATGCCCTGAGTTAAACCAAAAGTCTTAAAGAAGTAAAGATATATAATAAAATCAAAAGTATTCATATGAAAATAGAATAAAAATATAACACAGAATAAAAATACATTCCTGCTGTGATAAGTGTATATAAAATGTAATAATAATAGTACTACTGTTTGTGTTAATTGCACATAGAATGATAATTTCCACTCAGAGTGAAGACTTGTACAGTCTGATGGCTTCAGGCAGGAATGACCTGCTGTGGGGCATCTTGGTGCATCTTGGTGCAATAAGTCTGGTACTGAATGTGCTCCTGTAGCCGACCAGCACATCGTGGAGCGGGTGTGACACATTGTCCAAGATGACAGTCAGCTTGGACGGCATCCTTCTCTCCGACACCTCCGTCAGAGAGTCCAGCTTCACTCCCACAACGTCACCGGCCATGAGAACCAGTCTGTTGGTGTCAGCTGCCCTCAGCCTGCTGCCCCAGCACACCACAGCAGACAGGATAGCAGTGGCTCCCACAGACTCATAGAACATCCTGAGCGTAGTTCGGCAGATGTTACAGGACCTCAGTCGCCTCAGATAAAACGGACCACTCTGGCCCTTCCTGTAGAGGGCGTCAGTGTTCTTTGCCCGGTCCAGTTTGTTGTCACTGTGGACCCCCAGATACTTGTCATCCTCCACGATGTCCACACTGACCCCCTGGATGGAGACAGGGGTCACCGGCACCTCTGTCCTCCTCAAATCTGCTATTAGTTCCTTGGCTGCAGATGGTTCATGTGATGGTCCTCATCCCTCTCCAGACCTCTCCGGTGGTGGTCTGAGGAGTCCTCCCTCGCCTCCCTCATCTTCACCTTCAGCTGTCTCAGTGTTGTCGGGCTGGACCCGGATAGCCGACTATTCGTTCGCTGTGCTGGAATCAGGATATCAATTTTGATTTCCGGAAACGGCCGCTCACTCCTGCCCCGTCGGACCGAACGCTCGGCACACTCAGCTGTTTGGATCTGTTGGCTCTGAGTTTAGCTTCTGCAGCATCAGACAGCAGCAGGGTCCATGTGAGCGTCTCCAAAGAGAGCGTTTACATGCCGATAAACAGCCGTTAGCTTATTGGCTTCCCTCAGAAACACATTTTCAGATTCATTTATCGAATCTGTTTCTTTTAGGAAGTGTTCCTAGTGATTCCTCGTTGATGTTAATATGTTAATAATCCCTTAAACACAAAAAGCTGTAAAATAACTCGTTCTCACTGACTGTCAGACCTCACTGACGGCCAACTGAAAGCTTTAAGTAGAGATGAGAACACCACGTTTAGGTTTGTATTACTGGTTGCACTAAATCCAATGTACTGTACTTTGGATATATTTCTTCTAACAGTGCATCACTTGGCGGTTCCCAAGGTTGCAAGTTTTTGTTTTTTTTACATTCCTGGTTGACGTTTTTACTCCACGTCACCGATTTAGATCGCACATATTTTACTGACATTTGGTTTATTTGTCATTTTTACAGTGTCATTTATTTTAACGTTTTGTTGTTGTTGTTTTTTACAGTGTATTTGTTGGTTTATGTCTTTGTCGTCACTTGTTACGGTAAATTTGGGCGTCAGTGTTACTCTCGGCTGCCGTGTTTTTACAGTCTAACCCCGATCACGTGTTTTAGCTTCTAGTGGACGAAAGAAAACGTCTGTGAAACGCTAGAAAACTGCCAAACAGAGTTTACTTTTTTATTTCTGTCTCAGGTTCAAATAAATTCTCTGCCAACATGCTGTGACCTCTTCAGTATTCTATGAACAACTCTGGGAGGATAAAAGTCAGAAATAAACGGGTTGTCATGTTACTGGTTGGCCACCAGAGGGCAGCAGAGCGTTACGCACAAATCTCAACGAGCCTGCAGCCGATGACTAATCAATAATAATACCTGCATACGATCAATATTCACGTCCTCCTCAAACTGAAAGGCCTCGTTATGAACCAAAACAGTCGAATAGTTAATTTTCTGACACGATCACACAGTTTAAAGGGTTTTATTTTGGTAACGTGACCTCTGGTGTCTCATTTGTCTTGTTTTCTGGGTTATTTGACCCCCAAAAGACACAAAACGACATTTTATTGGCTAAGTAGGTTCATTTTCTGCCATTACTGACTAATTTCCTGCCTTTTTGGGGTCATTTGTTTTCTTTGTGGGCTAATTTTATGCACATGTGGGATAATTTTGTCACTTTTTGACACTCAAAAATACATAAAATAACATTTTTGTGTACTTGTGGGCCAATTTTATGCATTTTAAGGGTCATTTTATGCTGGTTTAGATTCATTTGGTGCCTGTTTTTGTGCCTTTGTGGGCTAATCGAGGGGCATTTTAATGCTATGTGAGGAAATATGTGTCATTTCGTGCCATTTAGGGGTAATTTTGTAGTTTTTTTCTATCGTTTTGTGTTGTTTCGTACCTTTTGTGGAGTTATTTTTTTTTATCTTTTTTGTATTTGTTGGGGTTATTTTATGCCTTTGTGAAGCTGCTTGTGGAGCCATTTTGCTTATTTTTGCTGTTTTTTTGTGTTTTTCGGTGTCATTTTGTACCTTTTTTCTTCATCTGTCTGTTTTTTTTTGTTTGTTTTGTGTATTTTGTGATTGTTCTTTTTTGTGTTGTTTACAGTCAGTTTTCTTGTCTTCATGTCTCCCTGTGATCATACTCAATCGTTTAAGTTTATTTTTCATTATAAGTTCTCCTCAGTCGTATTTGAACCGACTAGAGTTGCTGTAACGAACAGAAAAGCTGTTACTGAGGGAGTTTAAGTCGCCTGCTTTGATAAGAAAAGTTCAAATAAAACACTACAGACATTTTTTTCTCCTGTTTAATTCTTTGTTTGGTTAAATAAGTGAAGCCGTGATCAGAATTAAGGTTTAACAAGCAGAGAAAGTTTCACCTCTCCGCCCGTCGTCGCTCCACGTTCAGTCCTCCGGCGACGTTTCTGCTCATCCAGTGATTTCCTACGTTTCCCAGAATGCAACAGCGAGGTGTCCGAATCTGCTTCCAGCTCCTGAAGGTCTTCTTCCAGTTAAAACTTTTTCTCAAAGGGAAGGAAACTGTTTGATTGATGAAACTTCATGAAACAGGCGGACAGCCGGAGGTCTGTGGACGATGTTCAGGAGAAATCACACTGGATTCTAGGACAGGTTTTGAACTAGTAAGTGGTTTGTTTTTATTTCTCCATGTGGTTCCAGGAAACACAACTTTAAGGCCTGATTCAAAAAGTTGTTGTGTTTGTTTGGAGCCGTTCAGCATCTCTGTCTGATTGTTTGCAGCTGTTGGTGGTGTTGAAACCTGGAGGACAATTATTAGAAACTACACGAGATCTGATGGAAAATGTTCAAACTGAGGAAGTTTTTACTTTGAATATTAAACCCAGTTTAAACATGACTTAACTTAAATATGAATTAAAGATGCTGTTGGTGTGAAATATGATTTTAACCCAACGAAAGTTACCCAAAGGGAAATGAAAGGGGACAAAGCGTGGCCCATGTGTTCCTGTGCAAACACTGTCTGCAGTTCAGCCGAAGAAAAATACGTCAGTTAGTTCAGCAGATGTGGTGAAAACACTTGAAAGACGCGTTCTCTTCACCAAATTAACAAAAGCTCATCATTTATCAGAAATGATTAAAACACACAATCATTGCTTTCTGACAAACTCTTTGTGGCCGTCTGGCATCTGTTGGGATCATTTTGTGCATTTTAAGAGCACTTTATGACTTTGTGCGTCGCATTTTGTGCCTCTTTTGGCGTCTTTTTGTATCCTGGTCAATCCTGGTGGCCATTTGTGGTTGTTTTGGCTCATTTAGCATCTTCTTGAGGTCACTGTTCTGTCTTTTCTTGGTGTGTTTTATGCCTCTGTGGTCATTTGGCGTCTAATCGGGTCATTTCCTTCTGTTTGTGGTAAAAATTGTGTCTTTTTGTGATTGTTTTGTGTGTTGTTGTGGTCGTGCTGTGTCTGTTCAGGGTCTGTTTTGTTGTCTTTTTGCTTCTTTTCTGACTATATGAGGGTTCGTTTTGCTTCACTTTCAGGTCATTTTGCGTTTCCTTGGATCAGTGCCGTCTCTTTGTGGCCTCTCATCAACTTATTGTGTCTTTTTGCGATTGTTCTGCGTCATGTTGTGGTCGTGCTGTGTCTGTTCTGGGTCTTTTTCGCTTTCTTTTTAGGTTTTTGCCCTTGTGGGGTCATTGAGGGTTATTTCGTGGTCATTTTGCTTCTTTTCTGGGTATATTTTGTGTCTTTAGGGTTCGTTTTGCTTCACTTTCAGGTCATTTTGCGTCTCCTTGGATCAGTACCGTCTCTTTGTGGCCTCTCATCAGCTTATTGTGTCTTTTTGTGATTGTTTTGTGCCTCTTTGAGGTTATTTTTTTGTCATTTAGCGTCTTCTTGTGGTCAGTTTCTTCGTCTTTTTCTAGATTATGTCGTCTCTGGGATTGTTTTCTGTCCCTCTGTGCTGTGCTGTGGTTGCTCTGGGTCTTATTTTCTACCTTTAGTGGCCTCATTTCCTTGTGTTGGTGGTCATAGGAGGTCTTTTTGTTCCTTTGTGGAGTGATTTAATGTCGTCATGTGTTTGTTTTCTGTGTGTGTCTCGTCATTATCTGCCTTTTTATGCCTTAATAGTTATAATACGTTTTGTTTTGGGGGTTTTTTGTCAGTCATTTTTTCCCTTATTGATGTTTTATTGTCTTTTTGCCACCATTTTTTCTCTTTTTGAGGTTTATTTCTGATGTTTTGTGTCTCTGTGGCCATCATGGGTCTGATTGGTGGTTCTGCATGTTTTTGTAGTTATTGGACGTGTTTTTGAGCTTGTTTTGCACGTCTTTGTAGTCATGGAATAGACTTTTTCACGTTGTCAGGAAGTAAAAATGGCAGAACTGGTGGAAACTGAGACCTCAGGGTGTCGCTAGCAGACAATCAGAGCATCATCCAGATACCGGGTGTCCATTCTCTGGTCAGTAAGGGTTGTTGATTTGTTTATTTGTGGTTGTTTTGTGTCTGTTTCTTGTCATGTTTTGTGTCTCTGTGGTTGTTTTGTGTCTCTTTGTTGTAGGTTTGTGTTTTTCGGGGGTTATTTTGGTTATGTTTTACTTTCCTGTAGATTTTGGGGGGACTTTTCTTTAACAAAGTGCTAAAATGTGAACGCTGACAGATCCAGGTAAACCTCAGACACTAGCTAAATCATTTTGAGGAGTTCTGCTGTTTTGAACGCTTCCCTGTGGTTTCTAACTCGACAGCAGACCACATTCAGGGCGATCTTCTTCAGAAAGCTGATAAATTTTGAACTGAATTCATTAGAAGAAGGTTAAACGAGCAGGTAATTGGAATTTAATTGAAATGACAGTTTTTTTATTCACTTTAAAAGTCATTTCAAGGAGACGTCATGTAGATGTTTATTTATTTGTACTGACTGTGAGACAATAAAACGACTTCATGGTTTCAAAGCATCGAGCTGCTCGTTAATTAGAAGAAAACACTACGTTAGACGGCATCATGTGATATTTTAGCCGGGACAGAAAACCCCCACAGATTTCCATGAGGGCCTGCGTTTGGCGTCGCATCGAGACACTGCGGCGGATTTGAACCTGCGCCTCCTCCGTCGCCATGGCGACCTGGAACGTGCCAGCGCGCCCAGGGTCTGCAGCTGCAGAGTGGCCATCTCATGTCGCATCTTCCCCGCCGTAATCCCATAATCCTCTGCTGCCTCCACTCTCACCCCCCCGATCGGATTAGAGGCTCCTGGATCAGAGCGCTGCATCCTCCACACACACCGACACACACACACCGACACACACACCGACACACACACACCGACACACACACCAGGCCTACCTGATGGCCTACATATCAGCCTCTTCCTCCTCTTTAGTGTTAATTGAACAGACGAGGACAATAAACAGGTTTACAGACTGAAGGCGACAGACTGTGGACTGAATAAAGGTCAACGCCAGCAGCAGCACATCCAGCCTCGGCTCTTCTGTCTCTTCCTTTAAACCTTGTTTTTTTTTTCCCCTCCCTGTGCAAACACCTTTATGAAACACAAGTCAGCGTCCTTCAAGGGATTTATTTAACAGGAAAAATTGTCCATCGTCAGATTTTCAGTGCAAAAAAAAAAAAAAGACCAAATAAACAGAAAAGTGAAGTTAAATCTCTCCGACTGCACAGCTGACATCAGTAAACCATGTTTCTGTTTGATTTCTCTGATAAAAAACACAGAGAGACAAAAACATGTCGCCAAACCCTGTGAGGAAGCATTTTGGATTTGAATCCCAACTGTACTAGTTGGATAAGGTGGAAACATCTGAACAAATAGAATAATTAATTAGTATTAAATTAAAGATCTGAGTGGACCTGGACAGGTGAGCAGAAAAGGTAACTGCCAACTGAAAGCCATA